AGAAAAAAAAACAGTTTCCCTTCAGTGCTCTCTTAATTACTGCAGAGAACATGGTGGGTGATGGAATTCCCTAAAGGGAATGAGCAAGAACCTATTGCTGTGTTTCCAGTGGCTGTGTGAACAATAGGATTCTGCTTCCCCGTTCTGTGTCCCACCTCTAAACACTAGCTGTTAATAACTCTTCTTTTTCCTTCCTTTGAGACCAGGCTACTTCAGGAGGAATGTGTGCTTCATACATTTACAGGGGGCTTTTACTGCACTTCCTTTTGCTTTAAGCAAACTTAAAGCAAACAAGAAAAATGTTTATCGGGTTAAAAAGTTATTCTGACACCTCTTTATGGTGTTTATTCGTTTTACTACATAGAGACAGAGCTTTTTGAGTTCCAAGCCCCAGGTGAGGGGGTGCGTGACAAGCAGCTGTTTGTTTGAGCACAGGTCCCATGCACACAGATAGTGGTTTCACAATGCATTTATAGCCCACACAGGCCTGTCTCCTGGGTTAATATTCTGTTATTTTAGAACCTGACACAGAATCCCAGTGTCCCTTCATAGAAAGGTTTATTGCTGTCAGTATGCTTAAACCTCTGAACAAAACCCAGTCCTCTTCCAGAGAAAGAGGGATTAAGATTTTGCTTCGGTGAGCTTAGTGGCTTGGGAGTTAGTTTCTTCCCCTTAAGAGCTCTTTTAATAACAGTCTGGCCCATTTCCTGTCACGGACAAATAGTTTGCAAAGACAGAACTAGTTCCTGTGAAGGAGATAATGCTGCTAATTTGGCAGCTTGTCGAGGAAGAAAACTAGGAAGGAAAAAGCCAGTTGACAGAATGTAATGAACTGCCTTACGAGCTAAGTCAATGAATGTGGGTTTTCTTTGGAAATGCACAGCTGTGTTTCTGGAAGCAGGCCTTTGGAATTCCATTACCACTCTCTGGCCACAAGAACAGCACGTGGATTACACGCTGTAAGAGATTTTGCTCCATGTAGAGTTCCCTCAGGATGTCGCAGTGCGGGCAGCGATGGGATTTGATGATGTTTCTCTTCTGTTAAAAGTGTGAGGACAGGCTGGCAGGTACAGCTCCTCAGGGGTGGGGGGAGTTGTGGCCCTTGTAGTTCATGCCAGGGCAAGAATGGGTTAATGCAACTTCTCCCCCCCCTGCCCCAAGACATTCTTTATTTGCAAATAGATGAAATGAATTGTTGAGTTTTGCCCTGAAGCAGTTATGAATTTTGAATATAAGATTTGGGAATTGTAAGGATTTGACTCTCTTCCTGTTGAAATTGATAAGAGAAGAAATTCTCACCGATTTTAGGAGTAGTAAGATATGTTTCCTCTATTGTTTTTGAAAGTTTCTTCTCCTCTTTGTGGGTCAGTTATTTTGCCATGTGTTGGGTATAACCTTTTTGTTGTCCACAAAATGCCTGAGGAATCCAGAATCAGATCCTGTAGTTCTGGGCTTAGTGACAACCTAAATCTGTTCAGCATCACACATGGAATATGGACTGCATTCAGAACTGCTGAGAGTGGGGTGTTCTTATTGACAATGAGACTTTTCCCTTGAAAATGGCCTTAGGATTTCTTGTTCCTGCTCAGGTGTGAATATATGTGCCTGTGACAAGTCCCCTGTTTCTTGTGTCATGGAAGTTCCAGAAAGAAGCTGCCTGATACTTGAGGGAGTAAAAATAGTGAAATGTCAGTAAGTACATCTTAGGTAAGGCTGTTCTGAGATTTGCAGTAAGACTGGAAGTATCCTGATTGTGTAGGAGCTGGTGGTGAGATTTACGTGCCCAGAATGCAGAAAGGAATCAAACCCCTCCCTTCCAGCAGATAGCCTTGACTCCAGCTCAGACTGAAAAGCTGTTTTCATCAGAAGGCTTCACTGGCCTTGGCTGGGTTCCTTGGGCAGCCACCAGGACATAAATACAGCTTGGATCAGATCTGAGAATGAGCAAGGAAGAAATCTGAGTCCTTGCCTCTGGAAGTGTGTACTCTGGGCTTGTGATGAAGCATACTGGAGTAAGTGGATCACCTCTTACTCTGCTGGAGGTGCTGTTTGAATTAATTTGGATCTCTGGTCTCTCAGGCTATCACATACACATTTATAATAAGCTATTTATTCTTCTGTTGAGTTAAAACATTAAGCACATCCCTCATACACCAGTTGTCGGTGCCAGGCAGAGGCAGAGGGTGATGTACTATTGCTCAGCAGCTCGTGACTACTTGAAATGCTGACCTTGCTTTTGAAGACCTGTCAGCATCTCTTCAGCAGACCTTTAGGGGAAATCTGATAAATGCGCTTATCTTTAAGCCAGTGTCTTATCTGTAAAGGAAAAAGAGATTGGTGGGTTCCTGGAACCCGGAGTCTTGGTGCTGTTCGTGCCTCTTACTCGGCTTTGGGTGATGTGTTCTCACTGCAGAGCTGACACAACCTGCAGAATGGGGGAAAGAACCACTTGGAGTTTTTCAGAAGCAAAACTGCTAACAGGGGAGAGAAGAATTTTTAATATGTGTGTAACCCTAGAAGCCCGAATGATAGAGAATCAAACTTTTAACAGACAGGCCTATGGACTGGATTCCTCTGAAACACATTACAGCTGCACTTCTTTAATTCAGAGTGGTGGAGGAATGAACACTATCAGGAGGAGGCTGTTCTCTTCTGATTTTAATAAGGAAGGCTGAACTAATCTGTGAAACAGGTAATTCCAAAAACAGTCTCCCCCAAAATCCCATTAAAGAAGGTCAGCTAAATGCACTTTTATCTTATTGCTGCTACTTTTCCTGTTGCGTTGATGGAGCTCTTCAAAATACTCTTACCAGCGAGTTTATTCTCTGCTGTATTTAAGGTGATGAATTTGCATGAATTAGTCCTGTAACAGTGCTGTAAACAATGGAAACCAAAATAAAAATGAATTGTAACAAACATTTCTCCTGACGTGTCCTGCATGTTGTGACACAAAGTCTTCCAGTAAGTACATCTATTTCAGGTGTGTTCCATGGGGTACTGAAGTGCATGTTTGACACCAAGGACCTTCTGTGCTCTTACTTTGATAGTTAGCAGTTAACTATCTGAGACTGACTGCAAGGTTAGAAAACCCTTCCTGAAGAATTATGCTGAGGAGATCAGAGCTTGGTTTGCTTTAGAAAGCTTTCCTGCCTAGAAGAGGCACCTTTCCCCAGAGAGAGTTTAGATGTTTTCTCCTGCATTCCAGAGAAAAAGATAAGTCCTGCAGAAAGGACAAAGGCCCCCCACAGGGGATTGGGGGGGGCAGAAATTGTAAAAGCCCTGAGAAGGGTGTTTGAAGCGCCATTAGCATTAATGTTCTCTTAAGTCCAGTGTTCTCGACTTCAGAAACAAAATTTTCCTACAATCCCTCCACTGCCTTTCCCAGAATCAACGAGGTTGGAAAACACCTCTGACTTCATCAAGTCCAACCTCTGACCCAACACTTTGCCTACCAGACCGTGGCACTGATGCCACAGTCTCTGCTTAAACACCCCCAAGGGATGGTGACTCCACCTGGGCAGCCCGTTTCAGTGTCTGATCACTCTCTCTGGAAAGAATTTCTTCCTGATGCCCAACCTAAAACTCCCCTGGCGCAGCTTAAGGCCGTGCCCTCTTGTCCTGCTGCTGGTTGTGTGGGAGAAGAGCCTGACCCCCACTTGGCTCCCCCTCCTGTCAGGGTCTTTTAGAGAGCGAAAAGGTCCCCCCCGAGCCCTCGGGGGGCAGCTGCGTGTCATCTTCACACTGATGACACCGGCAGTTTTAATCGCACTAAAATTACCAGCACTGAACCAACGATTTCTCGAGGATACCGGAGGAAGCCACGGCCAGCAAATATTCAGGTCAGCGAGTAGGGCTCTCACCCGTCGGAAAGGAGCGGATCCCCCCTCAGGCCCGGCGGGCGGTGCCGGCCCCGCGCATGCCGGGAGGGCCGCGGGGCGGGCCCGGCCCACGAACGGCCGCGCCGGGACCGCCCGGGGGGAATCCCGGCGGCTACAGCGGGACGGGCACGGCAGGGGATCCCCGGACCCCCCCTCCCCCGGGCCCCAGAGCGGCGAGGCGGGCACAGGTGGGACGGCGGAACACGGCGGGACGGGGCTGGGAGCGCGGCGGGACGGGCGGGTCCCCGCGCTGCGAGGGAGGGCCGGGGGGAGGGCTCGGTGCTCTCCGCTCTCCGCTCCGCTGCCAGCCCGGCCTCGGGAAGAGGAAGGGGAATTCTGCAACGCCCGGGGCTCCCTCCCCTTCCTCGTGGGCGCGGGAGAGCCGAACCAGCGCCCCTGCGCGGGATCGGCCCGCGGGGCTGAACAACTTCAACTCAGGGAGCTCGTTCCTGGTTCTCAGTTCCCGAGACAGCCGTTCCTTACCCTCAGCTGCGGGGAGCGGAGCTGCTCCGCACACACGGGCCAGGCCGTTTGTCATCAGCTCGAGTCCCCCCCCGTGATGAGCACGGAGGGCCCACAGATTCTCGCAGGTTGTGCCAGGGGTGGACCTCGTCTGGTAAAACCCTTCCAGAAAGTCCCTCGGCCGATGTTGTTTTCGGAGCGTTTGCTCTCCGATGAGCAGCGGTGAGAGGGTGCTCGCCAAAGCTGTTAGCTGTGTCCTGTGAAGGCGGCCAGAACTAATGTTTCGTTTCGAGTTTTCTCAAATTTAGTGCCTCAAGAGTGATATTTCTATTTTCTGCCCCGTACTGCGCCTCTCATTTATTTGCTGTAGCAAGGAGAGATGTTGTAGTTTGTCGATTGTTAAGGCTGCTCTCCACTCCTCCTAGTGCCCTTGTCCCACATTTGATTCTCCATGTCCAGTTGCCAAGGGAGCAAACACAGAAACAAGTCAGATGAGCTTTGGAGAAGGGTTTAGGGATCCTTCAGAACAAAGGGTCCCTAGTAAACCGTATAGTTTTATTCAGAACATAGTTTATCAGTCTGGTCAAAAGCAGTTGTGGGAGTTTATCTTTAGGGTTTGCTTCTGCTTTATTTAAAAATCCACTTTCTGCAAATTTAGAGCAGCTCGTGATGTTGAAAAGGTGTTAAACAGTGTGACAGCTTTCCAGTTAAACTAGACTTTATTTGTTTACCTGTTAACTCCTTTTCACCCCCTTGTGGGACTTAATGTAATTAATTTATGGGATTGGAATTGCCCAAGATCTTGTCCTGAGTCATAATTGAGCCTTTTTGGAGCCTTCCTGCCTGGGGGACATGGAGGACAGTTTTTGACTCAATATTTCTTTTGGATGTAGCAAATGCTTCCATGGGGATTAGTCATATTTTGAATTTACGAATATCCTGTGCTTATCAAAATACAAATTTTGATGTTTCAAAAGACCATTAAAGCAGAATTGCATGAGAATATCCTAATTAACAGCCTCTGAACCAAATGTCTCTCATTTAGCTTTCTGATGTGACATTTTCACGTGTGCTGTTTCCTCTATCAGAATTTCTTGCCTCTGTTCAGTCAGCTCCCAGTTTCTGAGTGCAAAATACTTGATGGTCCACCCGAGGGGAGAGAAGCATGAGGTGGTGCTGGTTCTTAGCATAAAGACTTTGGCTGATTTCTCAGGAGAAAAGATCAACACTCCAGCAGTTCAACAGCTGTAAGTGGGTTTTAGCAAAAATCCCCTGAAGGTGGTTTGTCCCACGTCTGCTTCTTCACTTAATCCTTTTTTGTGTGTGTGGTTCCCCCTTTCCTCTGGCTTTACAGGAAAATGGTGGTTTAGGATGGACTTGGAGCTCCTGAAGAAGCTGCGTCAGGCCAACCAGGACCTTCTACAAAGGCTCAAAACAAAGCAGGAGGAGATCAGAAAAAGAGTTCCCAGCAAGCCACTCCTTCCAGCATCTGTTCCTGGCAGCACAGCTGCTGAGGGCTCTGTCCCCTGGCCCAGGAGAGGGGTATGTGTGGTGTCTGTGCTAGAAATTCTGGGAAGCAAATGGGCCCTGTGGGACAGCAGCTCTGCCTGTGGTGTGGGAAAGGAGTCACATGGACCTGGAGGAGCTGGTAGAAAGTGGAATATGAAATCTGTTAGAAAAATAGCTGCCCTTTGGTTATTGTTTATCCTGTGGTCTTAATCTGTTCTCCTTGCAAAGAATTCAGTCCCTGCCTAAGAAATGCAGGTTTCCTCATCTGACACAGGAAGGAACGTTGTGGAACAAAATCCTTTTGTTTCATCTAAGCACAAAGGGCTGAAAGTTTTGTGGTTCCTCAAGTTGGGAAAAGCTTTATTTAGCTGGAAGTGGATCTCTTTCTTCTCCAAATAAAAACATCTCGTGAATCAACGTTAGGATTTTTCTTTCTATCCTGCAGGAATTTAAAGGGGTGAGCAGAGCAGAATGAGAGGTTCATTTTCTCTCAGTGAGTGAAATGTCCTAATGAAAGGTGTTTGTGCTGATGCCACCTGTAATGAGGGTCTCTGTCCTTACAGAAGGAGAATCAGGTGGATGCTGGGAAGGCCACAGCTGAGCCTGGGGTGGTGGTGTCTGTGGAACCCAGAGCTTGCACAGCCAGAGCAGCCCTCAGTTCACCTCATAAACACAGCAGCGGGGCCAGAGGGGAACAGCAACAACAAGCAAAGGCACAGGAAGCAACAGGTTTGGATTCCAGCTTTCCTGGGAAAGAGAAGAGTGGTATTCCAGTGTCTGCAATCATTCCATGTGGCAGAGAAGCCTCTAGAGTGGATGGGGATGGCCATGCTTGGGGAAGTCCAGAGAAGGAATCCTTCCTCCTGGGGCTTGGAGAGAACAGAAGACAGCCTGCTCTGCTCCATGGTTTCCATGAGAAGAATCGTCCAGAGCCATCACTGAGCAGAGTGCAAAATGAAGAGCCCAGTGAGCAGCACGTGGTCAGCAGGGAACCCACAGTACCTAAATCAGTCCTGGTGACATCCCGGTCCAAAGAGTTGAAGGTAAATGTCAAACCAGTGCTATTTTTATTTTTCCAAGTCAACAGAAGGATGGGGAAGAAGGGCCAGGAGAACATGACTTGCCCTGTTCCCACTGTAGATGGGAAGTTGGGGCTGGAACTGTTCCTGGGTGTAGCAGCCAGGGGCTGTTGGCAGTTTGTTCAGGCCCTACTCTCCTCAGGCAGTGAACTGAAGACCAGAAAACTGTCCCACTTGACATGTTTCCACATGTGATCCATGTGCTGAGGGAGAACAGCCAGGGGCAGTGCTGCTGCTGCTCCAGAGTTTGTTCCCCTGGGTGGGAAGGGTAGGCTCTGTCCCTGATCATCCTCCAGGGCAGCCTGATCTTTGGGGATGTGACATGAGGGACCTCAGCATTTTGTTTAAAGCTCTGAAAAATCCTGCCTTATCCCTGGGCAAGTCCCCTGTCCCCTCCTTCTGGTTTATTTGTTGAGAAGACAAAGGGCTGGTGAGCAAGTCACTGGCAGAGGCATGGACAGAATCCAGCCTCAAACGAAGTCACAGCTGTCCCATTTGAGCAGCTGCCAGTTGTCTCCTCAGCTGTGCCTTTGACTGTCCTGCTGATAGGGTGACTAAGAAGTCTTTGTGAATTGTTTTCTTCCCAGAAGAAAGCTCGTCATGTGACTTTTCAGTCTGACCCCGAAGGAGATGCCACACGGGTGGGCAGCTGGTCTGCCCGTCCTTTCCTGGGCTATGACTGGATTGCAGGTGAATCCTAACCCTGAAGCGAAGCTCTCAGCAGGGTGGGGTGGTAAGAAGAGCTAAAACACAGCTGATGTCCCCTCTAAGGTGAGGTGTGGTGGGACTGCTGTCCCCGAGTCCATGAGGAAAGTCTCAGCAGAAGGGCTGCAGCTCTGTCAGAGGCTCTTTCCTGTCCAGACATGACCTGTGCTTCCCTGGAATGGTGAAGTGGCAGTGGTGTGGGAATCCAGGCAGCAAATGGCAGCAATGGGGTCAGAGAGGACACCAAATAACTGGAATGAAAAAGGAAGCCAAACCACACAGTTAATCTCTGGTTTGACATGATGGCCTGCCCTTCTCATTACCATTATTTTGTTTTGACTGGGTTTTGTGAGGCTGCCTTTGGTGCTTTCCAAAATTTGATAAATCCCTGCACTTTCTTCTCTCCTTGCTCTTTTCAGGGCTCCTTGACACAAAGTCTTCAGTAACAGAAAAACCTGAGCAATACTTTGCTGAGCTGCAGCAGTTCCGACAGGCCAACAGGGAGGCTTGTATTGATGAGCAGGACCTGGAGTAAGTGGGAATGGGGAAGGGAATTGTGGTCTGATTGGAGTGGGACATTGTAAGGGTGGCTTTGAGGGCCTTAATTTACCTGCCAGGCATAAATGTGTGCTTGGAAAAGGCAGGGCTGCTCAGAGGACCTGCCCCCTGTCACCAGCTGATCTCTGTGTGTGTTTCTTTAGGCCCAAGGCTCTGGATTGCACCAGTCCTGAACAAGAACCAGAATGGATAACTGGTTCCCATAACTGTAAGATCACATTTCTTCCTACTCCCAATTTCTGTGTAAAAACAACTTTGTCATCCTGAGAGAGCAGCACATCATGCAAACGAGGAAGAATGTTATTTCAGCTGCAGCTCTTCAACCAGATTCAACTTCCTACTCCAAAGGCACTTGAAGTCTCCTCTCAATCACTGTCATGTTAATCTGTCAGGGTTTCTTGTAGCTGGCTAAAGTTCTGTTTTTAGGTTGAGGTTGAAGTTTTGGTTTTGCTTTTTAGGAACTTAACTTGGGAACAGGAAATGTAAAAGATATTTGAGGAAAGGCAGCTCTTATTATAGAATGCAGGTGTGGCACTGTGGTAGAACACAGCTTTGTGTGGCTGGTTTGAGGAACCTTCTGACAAACAAGGAATATGAAGTTTGGTGGTTTGTTCTGTGCAGGTTTTTACTGTTACCGGTTAAACCAGCGCCTGTTCACTGTCCCCGTGGATCCACAATCTGCCTGCCCTGTGTGTAAGATCCCACGTGCCCACCAGCCCCCAGGGACACTGGAAGAGCCAGCCCACGTCAGGTAAATAGGAATTACTGCCTTGTGATATGCAGGGCTCAAGGAGACAACAGGGAAGAAAAAGCTGGGCAGGTGAAGGAGAAAACAGTGTCACAGCAGCTCTGTAGAAGGTTGCTGTTCTCAAGGCAGAGATACATCTGGCTTAAAAAGGCCTTAGTGATCTTTTCCATGAGCACAAACAGTTTTGAAGTCAGTGAGAAATGCCTTTTTAATCCAAAATTGGTCCAGAATGTGAATGTGGATGTGAAGTGTCTGATGCCCTGATCCAAAACTGTTTTGCTTGGTTCACTTTGGGATTAGACCCTTTGGATTCTGGGTGGGGAAGGCAGATTTCCTCTGCCTCGTCAGAGGTGCAGGCACTTACTTCCCTTGTGTGCTTCCAGGGTCAGCATTCCCAGGAATACCCTTTTGCCTGCCCACAAGTACAAGGCCCATCGCAGGAGGAGCTTTGAGCCAGCAGATGATCTGGCCTTACCCTCGGTGAGTGGCTGCTCTGGCTGATGGCACAGCCCAGGCTGGCCATTGCTTTAAGAGGGGAAGAAAATCTGGGACCCATTGCCCTGGCAAGGGGTTCCCACTAAAATTTCTGACCTGTGTCACTGAGCCAGGAAAACCATCGGTGTGTTGGGAGTTGTGTGTTTGTGGAAGTGGCGTGGGGTGTATGACGTATTTGCAGTACTTTACACTGCACAAAGGAAAGTACCCTCTGGAGCTGTGTCCTTCTGGGGCAGATCTGACTGACTCAACACCGTGATCCACACCTAGGAGTGCCTGTGTTTCCTTCCACAGGTGTCAGGGAGTCTGGAAGGAGAGCATCCATGAAGCACGCACAGTGTCATCCCTGGTGGCAAGGGGTGGATTTCAAGCTGTTATTGTAGAGCTGGTCCTGTACTCCAGCCAGCAACCAGCGCTAGGCAGTATTGCTAATCTGACCCTGGCCTAAAGATTTCCAGGGAAGAGGTGGGAGGACACTTAGTTTTGAGGTTTAGGGAACTGGATGAGTCAGTTGAGACAGGTTCAGAGAGGTCGGGTGCTTGAGTTCACAGAGCAGGAGATCGGTTTAGAAGTGATCAGCCAGTGAAAGGTGGAAGAGGGGAGGGACAGTTTTGCTTCATGAGAGATTTCATCTTTTTTCCTGTTAGTCATATAAAGCCCCTCAAAAATTAATTAATCACTTTAATAATTGCTAAAACTTCCCTGTGCAGAAGTTACTATTTAGAACCACATTTAGGCCACAATAGAGAAAAAAGGGTAAAGCATTCCCACCTCTTTTCACAGCACTGCCTGGCTGGCTGGGAAAACATCATCCCTCCAAGCAACCCCAGGCTCAGCAGTTTGGATCTGCGATCTTCCCTGGAAGAGAGGCCTTCTCCCCATCCTCACCTGGTAAGGACAGCTTCCAGAGTCTCTGGAGATGCTGGGCATTGCACAGATGGAAATTGCTGTCCCACCTCTAAAGGGTTTGAGCAAACAAAAATTTATCACCGCTGGGAAACATTTTCCTTGTTCTCAGCTTGTGTGCAAAACCCTGTTCAGCTCACCACTCTTCATCAAAGAAAAGTCACCATGGCACTCTTTGATTAACACCCTCTTTATTTGGCTTCCAGGACTCGCTGCCCAGAGTGTCAAGAGGCACCAGAACCGAGGAGCTCCTGCCCCCCTTGGCACGTCCCAGGTCCAGCAGTGCCTCCCCTCAGAGGAGGCAAAGCAAGCGGCACCGGGGAGCAGCTCCCGGATCAAACCGGGCGGCCTCGACACTGTGAACCACCAGTGTGACTGCCCAGGGGGAGGGGTGGGCACAGCACGTGGGAACAACTCCCAGACGAAGCCATTTGGATGAAAATTAAACTGGGAACAGATTTCTCTGCAGTTTCCACGCGCACGTAGTGAGCGGTGCTCGTGTGGGAGAGTTTGGACAGTCCGGTGTGTCGGTTCCTTGCTCTTTTTTTTGCCTCTCACAGCTCCTCCTGAGAGCTGTCCCAGCTGGGGCTGCCTCAAGGGATGTGTCCAGGATGAGGAGGGACAGCCATGGCCGAGGTTTGCCACCTCGGCTGAGTCACCACCAGTGGAACTGAGCTCTGGATGGCAGGGGAGGAAGTGGCCTGTGAAGGGCCTGGCTCACTGGAGGGACACAAATCTGTTGGTTTCCAGATGTTTGATGCATGACACTGAATAGTGCCTTAAACTTCAGCTCCTCGGTAATTTAGTTAAAATTTTAAAAATCCTATTTATTTTCAGTGCAATGCGTGTAGCTACAGAGTGACTGTGAGTGTGAAAAAACATGTTAAAATAAAATGAGATTTTATTCATTAACAAGCTAGATAATGTTAAAGCCTTAAAATGTTTGCAAATTGTGCTTGCCTCTGCTTTTCCGAGTCCGTTGGGAGATAAACAAAAAAAAAAACCATTTTGGAGTTTTTAAATGGTACCAAACAAAATACATTACATAGCGTGATCAGTTTGAACTTTATAGACTGATCTTGCTTTTCTTGCCTAAAAACAATAAAACTGATGTTTTATTTTGCCTTGAATTTTCAGAAACAGAAATTCCTTCCTCAGATATATTTCTGGGAGTAACTCAAGAGAATGAATTTGGTTCATTCACTGTTATTTTTATATCAAATACATTATTTATTTAATCAAATAAACCCCAGGTAACACACCCTTTCATGCAGGAGGGTGACTGTTGTGTCACCTGGGGGTGCATTGTGAGGGAACTCATCTATTTACTGCAGGAAAACTGCATTTCCTCCCGAGTTAAAGCAGCTTCAGCACTTGGACAGTGGACTCTGTGATGGAGCCAGTGCTGGGATCAGCGTTTCCAGGGAGACCTTTGCTGATCTGGGGGTCGAAACGTGGAAAGGAAGAGTTCCCAGGATATCCAGGGCTGTCCTAAGCCACAAACTAATACAGATCCTGCACTTTGCTGTGCAGGCCCAGGGCTTTGGGACAGCTTGTCTCCTGATCCTGGAGGTAATCTTGGCCTGGGTTTATATTTTTTTCCCATTCCTGGCTCTTGGGAACGTGCTGGTTTAAGCTGGGCAGCTGTGTCTGCTGTTGAAGGCTGACTCAGTGTGTGTGTGCTCGTTTGTGCCAGTTCTCCTCTGCCTGATGCTTTGATGGTAAAGCCGGTGGTTTAGTTCCCCCTCCTGACTGTATTGCACGTCTGTAACGCTGATTCATGGGGTGGGAAATCCAGCTTTGCTTAATTAGGCAAATGAGACACAGTAAATGGTGCATTTGTGATTGGTTGGAACAGAGAAATGTAATTAAAAACAGCTCCCATCTGCTCAGAACCAGTGTTAGACTGACATTGGTGTTTGTGTTTGCTCTCTTTGACTGCTTTAAGATAATTTTGGTGATATCTCAGGATCAGGTGTTTCTTGCTGTCAGAATTAATATCAGGAGCGTTGAATGAGTGTAGTGCTGATTTATGGCTTCTGTTTCGTTATCAGCACGTCAGGCAATGACTCTCCAGAACCCTCAGGTGAAACATCTGAGTGTGGCATGAACTCACTTTTTGAATCATTTGCAAACTTTGATTTTGGGGGGCTTTCATCTCTTTGGAACTTGTGTTTTCAAAGCCCAGAAGAATTTTTTCAGCGTGCCTCGAGTCTGAAAACACAAACAGGAGTTCTGCCCCTTCTCTTGGGAGTTAAAAGTCTCCATTTCACCAGCTTCCTGGGTAGTAGCAGACCAAGCATAAGGACTTGGTTTTCTCCTTCAGCTAGTGTATTCCACCGGTTCTGCAGAGCAAACCTTGCTGCTGGGAAGAGGAAAATAACACCCCAAATTGTCAGGGTTGAGATGCTCAGCTATAGCCTTAAAAAAAATTAAAGTTTTACACTCGTTGAGAAAACTGCATCCTGAAAATCTTCCCATTTGTTTCTTTCACAAAAAGGATTTGATATCTCCTGGCTTTCTTTTGTTTGTGTCAGCAAAGGAAAGCTCATCTTGCTTCTGTTATTAGGTAAGCTTTAAACTCAGCTTTGAGATGAGGACAACCTGAGTATCAAGAAAGGATACGAGTTACCCAAAACATCTGTGACAGTCCTGGGGACTAAACGAGTCCCACTCCTGTCTTTTAACCCCCTGGTCAGTCTTTCCCCAAAACCTTTTTTTATTTTCAAATTTGGGTTTCAATGCAGAGAATTGAAACTGTTGGTGCTTTCCCAGTTCCCTCCACCAAGAGCTTTGCTCGTGGAGAATGACCATGTGTAACTATCCCACCCTTCCAGAAGCTGCAGTCACAATTACTGAAAGTACAGACATGATGTCATCTCTCATCTAAGGTCATTTCTCTCTCTCTCTCTCCCAGCCTGTGGGCATAGTAATTCTGTGATACGGTTTTGGTTTCTTTCATGGAAGCCAAGCCTTTCTTGAGAGAACTGAGCTCTCTGTCAGCTCTTCTCATTTTTCAGTCTGACTCAAAATGTGCTTTAGTTTTGAAGCTGCCATGGGCCAGAAAAAGTCATTTTATACGCATTTATTGTGTTACATTAGTTATTTTATCACTTTAGGTAAGGCAGTAGCATTAGTTGAGATAACAAAAACAGTTACGAGAACTTCGTTATCCCCATAAAATTTATATAAATGACATCTGTAAAAGAAATCTAATTGAAAATGAACACGATAACCTTTTTTTTTTCCTGATGGCAACTCTTGTTTTAAGCCACTGCTACATTTCAACAAGTGGACAACAAGACCTTCACACCACCTTCCTTGGTGATGACAGTGGACAAACATACCAAGGTAAATTGCTGAATCAGTAACAGCTCTGCAGGTCATGTTCTCAAGAGCACCTGGAATGTATTTAACACAGTGCAGGGTGGCTGAAGGGCCATAAATAAATGGATTGACAAAGACTTAATACTAAGAAGAACCCTGATGGTTCCCTCACTACTTGAGTATCTCAGTGAGATCAGTGCTGCCCTCCCTCCTGCCTGTCCTCTCTGGGCTGTGGAAAGATTTCCAGGGAAGTTCAGTCCACTGGCTTATTTTGCAATGCCCCAAATCGTTGGGCTCCTGTGTGTTGTAACCACAGTGTCACCCTGCAGGGTGCCCAGGAACAGAGCTCTCCCCCACAATGCACAAAGAGATCAAGAAAGTAATTCTTGGGTTTCTTCCTTTCTTCGTTTTTTTTTTTTTTTGGTTGTTGTTGTTTTCCCTCTTTTAACTATGAGATTCTCTGTGGGTTTTATTGCAGGAAATGCCTTCATTTCTCTTCTCTTTTTTTTAATTTGTACCCCCAAAGTGCATGGCTTGTGTCCCAACAAGCACTGCCTTTGGTGCTCCTGGTTCTCCTGAAGCCCACGGAGTTTCAGGGTCTGGTTCCACCTGGCTGAGGAGCAAGAACTTGGTGATGTTTTTTCTCAGCATACTGCAATGCTCCAAATACCAACACTGAGAGCCACTGAAATACAGATTTTAGACAAGGTGTTTTAAAATGTGTCCTTTTAAACTTCACGGTCTCTTTTACGTGTCGGACAAGTGTTCAGAGATGACTTTGCTCGGTGTGATGCAGCTGGATCCAAATTACCTGAACATACATCTTTAAACCCAGGAGAAACCATGCTAAAAGTACAACATGAGACTAAAACCAGCCACTTCAAAATTAGAGAATGGCATGAGTCCTTTGGCTTGAGCACATGTGTTTCAGTGCTGCTTCTAAAATATTCCATGGCTGCTCCCTTTGTTAGTGAGCAGGCAGAGCTGAAGGGATGCTTTAGGCACGTGGTGAGGACTTTCCCTCATGGCTTAGTTGGACCTCTGCATCCTCTTGCTCCAGGAATCAAGTGACATTTGCAACAGGACCTTCTCTGATCCCTCTCAGCTCCAAGCAGCTCCCACTGATCAGATACACGATGTAAGAAATACCTAAGCCTGGTATTAAGTAAACAGATTAAAATACAAAATGCCAAAACCCTTATCTTGGAGCACTGCTACCTTCTAACACCCAAAGTAAAATGGGATTCAGATGTTAACAGACAGATGCGTGCAATCAAATAAATACTATAAATAATAATATGTTCATGAGGGGCTTCCCCTTTTCTCTGACAGACATTGTCCCCTGAGGGAAGACCGGAGAAACAGGGGTTGTTTGTTTGCTTCTGTTTGTTCTGCCCTTTTTTTATTTCCATATTAACACAGAGGACTATTTTCTAGGAAATGCAGCAGCGTGGGCTTGCCATAAAATGGAGGTGCTTCTTCCAGTTACCGATAAGGGCTTCCTTTGGAAAGCCCCTTTTGTTGTATTTCAAATCAAAACACCCAAAGTCTGACATTAATGCATTCAGCTGGAAGTGCAGGCTGGGATGTTCCCGTGAAACAACCTCCTCACCCTCTCCATTGATCGTACCAGCCTGTCTGAAAAGCCAGCAGCAACAATAACCCCCTCTCCACTTCCTGTCCTTTAAAATATCTGCTTTGATCAAGAACGAGCTTGAGAATAAGGAAAAATGGCAGCTGGAAGCCTGGTTTCACTTTGGACATGTGAGTGGATTCTTTCTCCTGAGGAGGAATGATCTCCTCCTGCAGCCTCTCCCTCAGGGAGCTTGTGATGAGCACTCTGTCCCTTCATCCAAGTCATCTCCTTCATCCAAGTCATCTCCTTCATCCAAGTCATCTCCTTCTATGAAACCTTCTAAATCTTAATGGCATTGCCTCCTAAGCCAAATTCGATTGAAGTTACCCAGTGGGTTGAAAAATTATTGACACCATTCATTAAAAAGGAGCTAATATACATATATATATATATATACATAAATATATATACAAAATGCTCAGTGTACTTCTTTCAGTCTTGCTTTATCTGGAAAACAGGCCAGAAAACTCTCCCTGCTGCCAGTTCTGGGAAAGGCTTTCACACACAGGTTTTTTTTGTACTCACACACTTAGTTTTTGTATCAGATGCTCCGACCTCAGCAGTGGAACTTACAGCTCTCTTGTGTTGGTGCCTGTCCTTTTGCTAGAGGAACTTAGATAGGGGCTGAGCAAAGAAAAAATTGCTCAGGAGGGAAAAAAAAAGACAAATCCTGACCAATATGTCATTTGAAACTGCATTTATAGATTGGGAGAATTGCTTAATGGCATATTATTACAGAAGATTAAGGTGTCTTCCAGCCCATCCTTTAATTGGGAAAAACAATAATGTGATACTCTGACATTCAAATACTTTTCTGTCTCTGGACCTTCAAGGCACATCTACCCCAACAGCTTTTATAGTTAAGAGAGCAGTTACCTGACAGAGGGAACGGAGGAGAGTGGAGTTACACACTAAATACCCTCCATGCCATGTGCTGAAAATGCCTGGGGTTTCTACAGTGGCACCCTGGAGAAAGAAATCCAGGTATTTAGTTAGAAAGAGGAGAGTTACGGCTGTGAGTTAAAGAAGATATTTACTCAGGGTCCCTGTGGAATGCTCACCTTTGGTGCTCATTTGTGAGGCAGTGGGGGAGCTGTGGGTTTTTAGTAAAATAATCATTTATCCAGCTTTCAATCTTCCCTCATTTCTTCTGGTTTTCTTTTTTGCTGATAAGGGTGAGAAGCAACAACAACAGCAACAAAATTAAAACCGAACCCAGACGTGTGAGAATTCAAATTGTCAACGATTTTCCTGTGTACCTCCAGAGAGGTTTTGAAGGCACTCTGCTCTTTTTGAAGTGGCTAACCTTCACTTCTGACAAAACTCCTAGGGCAGATAAGAAGGCTGCATGACACATTCAATCAACTGAAATCTTTCCAGGCACCAGAGCACAAACCATCCAGAGTAACAAATGAAAGTGAGCAAAAGTATGAGTAGCAGCCCTAGGGATGATCTTCAGCAGGAGGAATTTGTTTCCAGTGGGATTGGAGGAAAGGGGAAGGATTCTCAAGAGGATGGTCTGTGATATGTCGGTGTTTTAAGTGGCAACACGTAAAGCCTAAACCTTAGTGGAGTCACCCACTCATCCAAACAGGAATGAAACGACTGCACTGAAAAAAAAAAAAAAGAGCGTTTCTTACTGGGAACTCTCCCGGGGCTCGCTCATGGCTCTTGAAAAACCTGCGGCTGGATGGGGCAGGGCTTGGCCCCGTGCCTGGCCCGGTTTGGGTTGGTGAAGAGCTCTCTGAGGGCAGCCCAGATGACTCAGGAGCCGCCGGCACAGCCAGCCCTGAGCCTCGAGGGGCAACCTGGGCGCTCTCACCCGACCCACAGACACCCGACAGTGCCGGGAGCCGCCACTGAGGCGCTTTGGGTTTGTTCTTTTTTTTTAGGTTTCTTCTGGGGACAGCCCCCCCCTCGCCCTCCCCCTCCCTTCTAAATTATTTTCTCACCTCGCTTGAGTCTCAAAGCCTGTCCCCTGCTTGCCTGGAACAGCTGGAATGGCCCTGGACTGAGTGAACAGGCACGGAGTGAGGCTGGGCTGGAGCCTGGAGGGATCTCGGGCTCCAGAAGGGGCACCCTGGCCGTGCCACCTGCGATGCTGGGAGCCAGGGACACCTAAACCCACCTCAGATGGCTGCCCGCAGCCTGGCACCGGCACTGGGGCTCCTGCTGCTTCTCCAGGACATCCAGACATCCCTGCAGGTAAAGGCAGGGGGGCACCAGGATCCTGGAGCCTGGGGTGGGTCTGGGGGCACCCGGGGCTGCAGGGCTTGGGGTTTGGAGGGTGGGTGTCCACAGACACGAGGTTTGTGCAACGTGGGGGGATAAAGGCACAAAGCAGAGCTGTCAGGAGAGTTTGCCTTCCCTGGGAACTCCGCAGGCAGGAGCAGGGGGTACGAGCTGGGATCTGCATCCCCCGTGTTGGCATTGCTGGGGTTGCTGCAGCTCCGGGCACGTCCCAGCTGGGCAGGGAGGGAGGGAAGGTTTGCTTGGGGCGGGGGGCTTTTATTTCTGCCTGTGAAATGCGCTCTGTGCAAGGCGCGTTCCTTGCAGAGCTTCGCTCAGAGGCCGCTGCTCGCTCTGCTGAGGCGGGTCAGGAGAGGCGAATTGAAAGGTGTAGAGGCAAACCCATGACAGATCTTCCTCTTTACACCTCCCCCTTCCCCCTCCCCTCCCCGACTTCCTCATGAATCCACTATTCTTTCTGAATCAAAATCACTTAAAATAGCCGCAGCCCCGCAGCTGCACTCAGTGATGCTGGAGGTGCACACCAGCTCCCTGCTCAGATCGTATCAGCTCCTGTGGCTTTGCTGCCACTCCCACGCTTGCCACTCACCCCCCTCCTCCCGTGGGTCACCTGGCAACGAGCCCTCAGCACCTGGCATAAATCCAGGTAATTTCCCTGGCCAACACCGAAGCATTCACGTTAAAAAAAAAAGAAAGGTCAGTCACAGAGAGTCTTTGCACAGGTAAAGTTAGTAGGTGAGTAATTGCACTCTGTGCTGGATCCTGAAATGGGCTGTTTTCCCCTGTTGGGGAAATACGAGGATATATTAACCTAAGAGACCTGTCTGTCCTCCATAAATGAATGATAAACCACCACTTGGGCTGCCAGGAGGTGTTTTACAAGACATGGGCTCCAGTTAGAACTTTGAAAATAACCAAGTCCTGCATCTTCTTCACAGGCATTTGAAAAAGGTCCTCCTGGCTCTTTTGGTAAGAGTAGGAGTTTGCTCTTGTGCCTTTAGTTGTAAATTCCCCTCCCACATTGCAAGTTTGCTCTACTTTCCCCTCGTTATCTGTCCTGCCACTGTCTCCTTCCTGAAGTACAGAAGGGTTGGAGTCTGCAGCCCTTGCTCACCTGGGGAGTGCCTGGGAGGGCGTTCAGATAAACTTGTCTGGTCTGCTGAGTGCAAACTGCTTTAGGAGAAAGGCAAAAGAAACCAAAACACAAAAAAAAAGGATGATATTTTTGCTAGCTGATGTCACTTTTGGTGTTTTGTTCACAAATTGAAAGGAGCAGTGAGAAAATTTGGGTTTTTTTGATAGTCATTGTCAACATGCAGACTCACTGCAGAATCATCAGTTACCTGGAATAAATACACAGATCTCACTGGCACAGGTTTTTACTGTCCTTCTGCACTGCCTCTAGCACACAATTACTGATGCTGGAGCACAAGTGATACTATTTAATGTGAGCAAGTCACAACTTATTGTCCTATTTTTAAACCACTTACTTATGTCCACAGTTTGGGTTTCGTTTCTTTTTATATTCGGTGAACTCTCGTTTGTTGGTAATGTCTTTATGATCAAGCAGATGGAGCTTGACAAACTGAAGCCTTAGATTACCAGCTTCTTCAGAGCTGTCAGAATTTAACCAGAAGCTTGACAGGCAGTTAACTGTTTTGCTGCAGTATTAGTCAGTTCTGGAATAGCCACTGCTGGTAGAAATCTTTTTTTTTTTTTTTTTTTTTACCGTAATGTGCTTTCTTCCTGACTTACAGCTCATTTGTAGCAAATTTCGTGCTCTGCCTCACCATCACTTTTTCTCTATGAGCTCAAAAGGCCATAAATAAATGAGTCAAACCTTGTCCTGACTGAATTGCAGAGTAGCCCACTGAATTCAGCACCATCTTTACAACTGCCATTATTTAAATTGGAATAGCAAATGTTTGTAGAACCAAGGAAAGTGAGAAGAGCTACAAAAAGCCTACTTTCTAAAACGAATTCCCACAAGCAAGCACTGAAAAACCCAAATGCTTTGTATCTAATATGTCTGCTCTATTTAATTGGGCTTTGACCTGCAACACATTTAGAAAATTGAAAAAAAATAGTTGGCCTGTTAGGTCATTGAAAGCACTAAACCAGGGGATCCTGGGGATCCTGACACAGAGCAGTCCAAGCAGGATAGCATTTGTGGTCTTTCCTTTCATCAGATGTATTCCAGCTTCTGGTAAACCCCAAACCTTTGAAAAGCATGCAGGAAAAATTAGTGAAATTCAGTCTCTGTTTCCCTCCAGTTGAACAGCAAACTGAATCCAACTGAAGAATTCCTTGTATTAGAGCGAAAACAGATGCAAATAACTAATCTGTCAGAGACTCGTGGCTTGTTCACAGCTGTTCAAAAGGTGTGGACAGATTCATTCTGTGCTGAGAAGCTTTCTGCTGCACTGGGGATCGTTTGCTGCTCCAGCTCACCCTCCCCTTAGCTCGCACATTTATCTGTGTCCCTGCAGCTGGAATAAAGCAGCATCACCTCTGCACAGTGTCCTCCTGTCCAACCCAGATCAAATCCACTCTGGCATGGGACACAGATCCAGAAATAATGATGGCTCTGAGGTTTCCCATCCCAGCTGACAGACACCTGTCACACTCAGGGCAGGAGCCAAACAGCTTCAGGATTTAGAGGGGAAAAGAGACAAGAATGGGGATGTGGTGACTGAGGCTGAGCGTTGAGATGTGTGTTATTTGTCACTGAAAGGGGCTGTGCTGATTTTCACACTCGGGAAACACCCCTATGAACCTTAAAGCCATTTTGCAGGTAGCTTGGATTGGAAGTGGTGGTGCCTTCAGAAGGTGGTTTGTCCTGCCATGATTTGGTGAAATGCATTCTTTTCACAGCAGAGAAGCTTGGGTTTGGCTCAGGGAACAGTACAGGTGGCTACAAAGCCGTGCTGGACACCTGAGAGCAGCATTTGCTGGGGAGATGTGGATGATATGTGTAATGGAGCTGCAGGGCAGAGCTGCCCTCCTGTGGAAAGGGGGGAAAAATGTTCAGTACTCTCTTTCTTATGTATATTTTCATAAATTGTGTGGTATCCACGTCTAGTTCATGCAGTAATTTGTCACTGCACTGGCATCAGGTCAGGTTCATAATCAGAATGTGCCCTGCTGTGTCCAGGAGCAGAATTTACCCTGAACTCCTGGTTTCCATATTTTAGAACAAGGTAACTTTTTAAAAAGCTGCCATTCCCTCACACTTTTACACAGGCACTATTCCTTTATTTAAACACACAAATATACTGTAAGCTTATATGCTGCATAAATAATTGAAGAATTTTGTTCCCACCCTGGTTTAAAATTCAGCTGCATTTGCAGCCGGAGTTGGTTGCCCAGGAAGAGAAAATCATGTGTTTGTGGTGACTTCCCCCAGCTCTTCCAGAGAACCTAACCCAGGCTGATTGGCTACAGCCAGCATGCTGTAGCTTCTTAAATTTTCTTTCTAAACCCAGTTAATTCACTCGCTATCACTGCGGTGACTCGGGAATGACCCTTTGTGTGGTGGGTGGTGGTTTCCTGTTGCTCAGCTGGGGCTCAGGGGCTGCCTGGCCAGGCTGGATCTTTGCACCCAGAAGTGTGGAGATGCCACTTCCTTTTCCTGCAGTCTGGGGCTTCCTCCCAGAGCAGGAAAATGCCGGGTGCACGTGTGGAGATGAGAGCTGAGTCAGGCTGGGCAGGCAGAGCTTTCTGCTCTTCCCCTGCAGTCAGGCAGGAAAAATCCTCGTGGGGAGGTTCTGGCCCGGGGGTGATGCAGGGATGTGTCACGTTCTCACTTCTGTTACTGGTGGAGCTCGACGAAATGTAATGATTTCAATATGTTTATATTTCTTGCCCTTTTGTTCATTTCCTCCTTGACTGAAAGTTCCTGTTTTCTGATGGAAGTGAAATAATTTCAGTGTTTTCTGTGTGTTAAACTGTGAGATTCTGCACAGTGTACAAAGGCAGCAGGTTTTATTTCAAAGGCCAGTGGGAAATTCATCTGCAGAAAGTGAGATGGAGAGTTTCTGAAATATTTAACTGCTCTACCAGTATTGTGTGGGAAAATCTCGGGGGAATCTGCTGATTGATTCTTCACCAAAAAAATCGCTGTTTATGCCTTCTAGCAAAAAGTGAAAATGAAATTCAGGTAACAACAGTTTTAGGGGATTATTAAGGGAGATGCCACATTCAAAAATCCGATTTTCTCATCAGAACACTCGTGGCACTGTAATTTCCCAGAGCATGTGGTGGCCCAGCCGTACAAAAACAAAGTCTTGCTGTAATGCTGCCTGTTCCAATTCATAGCTGAGTCTCATTTTCTAAGCCAAGATTAGAACTATTGGATGGTGGGTTTTTTTTTAACTAAACTAGTATCAGTTATGTAGTAATGAAAGGTTCTTTCTGAAAACCTTCACTCACAACGCGAGTGGGATGAGTTATTTGAATAAGAGCTCCACTGTGAGAACATCTGCAGCATTCTCTCTGAGGCAAGACCCTCTTCCTCTCAGTGTGGGATTTGCCCCAAGTGATAATTGGTTAATTGGTTTATAATAAACACATCCTTAGTTTGCTAAATTCAAGCAGTAGGACTGCATGAATAACAGAAAAACCTGTTTGCTGCCACGAGTCACTGTGGGCATTGCAGCCCATCTGTCTGGATTCAGGTGGTGCTGAACATGGCACAACCTTTTACTCCAGTGCACACAGAGCTGGAAATCTGTTCCAGAGGTGAGGGATTGTTTTTCTTTTCCCTAAGACAATGATTTTTATCCTTTTTTTTAAATATAATTTTATTTGCTAACTGCTGCAAGATTTCTAAAGGAGATGCAGGCATTAATTTAGTTGCTTTGGGGATACTTGAATTTTCAGAAAGCTGTGGGTTTTTCCTTACCATCTGCAGATGGCATCACTTGGAGAAGGTCCTGGGATCAGAATTAGTTGTTTTCTGATTGTGTCTTTTGTCTGTCTCACTTTCTAGATATCATTAACCTGTGACACACGTGGAAATTGGTTCTATGATGAAACTTCACAAAGCTGCTGTTACCAGTGTCCCTCAGGTCAGTATAATTATAAAATAATCGAATTTACATGGAGTCTTTCTTGGAGAGCCAGTAGGAACTCTGTGTATCTGCAGAATTGTATTTTGTCCCTGAAAAAACAAGTGCAAGTTCATGAATCGCTGCCTGATTGAATCCAGAGGTGAATCTCTTCTCCCCTGTCCTGCTCCTCTGCACGCAAACAACGTGCAAATTGCAGAGTAGAGAACTTGACACAGTTTTGATGTGCTTTTTCTGCCTTGACTGGACACTGAAGCAGCCAGAAACAGGCAGAATTCATTTCAGTTTGCCTCAGGGTGTGAAACAGCACAGGCAAATTAGACTCTGCGAGTTTCTGCTCGGAGACAAAAAGCACCAAATGAAGGTGTGGAAAATCTGACACTGTTCTCATAGCTTCGAAAGTGTCTCACACGAGGGAGGGAGGGAACAGCCCTTGTCTGGGGACACTGAGAGCTTTGCTAGAAGCTGCTTGGGACTCAAAGGCACATGAGGTCAGGGCAGGAAACACCTCGGTGAGAGAAGAGCTCTGGAAATCTCTGAAACTGCCCCTTATTGGCCAAAAAACCCCTCAGTGGGTGGGGCATTTTGTGGTGCTTCACCACCATCAGTATCTTCTTGCAGAAATCTGTTCTTTCTCTTTTGTTTTTTCTTCGAGGAAATTTCTGACATTTCTTTGAGCTCTGATAATACGGGGGGGGGGGGGGGGTCAGTGTTTGATTACCAGCATTTGCATGCAGTTCCAGCAGGATTCCCACTGGGACATCCTGCACTGCTGGCCACACCTTCCTGCAGAAGCTGTCCAGGTGAACAAAGAGCCAGGGATGGAGAAAATGTCCCAGAAAATAAGAAAAGAGGGGGCTCGTGACTCAGAGACAGTCCCAAGGAAAGCTCTTTTCTCCTTCAAAACCACACTTTGCCAAAGCTCCTGTCATGACAGGTGTCATAGTGAGGTTTGTGAGAAGCAGAGATCTGATTTACACCAGTGAGCCACCAGTATCCATCATTTCACCTCTGTTGATTCTTGGCTGCATCCTCATGTCAGTCCTAGACGTTTCCTCACATCCTCTGCACAATAAAAGTTATAAGAATCCTTTTTCATTTTTATCTCCCACTGCTCCTCCAAGCAATAACCTGCTCATATCTGCTACGAGCTCAGCTGCTCATTGTGAAGGAAGAGCAGCTTTTCTAAAAGCCCTTTCAGCTGAAGAGAAGAGGGAACCACGAAAACCAATCCCCTGGGAACTCAGGAATGGCAAGGACAAAAACCTGCCAGAGAAACCAAATGACTGTGGTAGTGTGTCTAACAGGTGAAGGAGCATGCAAGACACTTCAGGATGGTTGTCTCCCATCATTCTGAACCGGTGTCCTGCATATTTTGGTTTGTTTTTGGTTTTTTTTTCTCTTTTCTCCAGGCTCTGTTAACAAGAAAGCTTGTCCTCAGGACCCATCTGCAGACTGCATAAGGTGTGGGCCTGGGCAATATGTCAACACAGAAAACCTGAGGCCACGATGTGATGCCTGTGTCTTATGCAAAGGTTTGTTTCCCCTGCACATACCTCACAGTTATATTCCCTCTACGTGTTTTGTTTACACTTTGTTCGTATTTTATTCGTTTAGAATTTCCAGCAGCAGAATTACCTGTCCTTGGTTACTGATTTAGAGGGCAGAGTGATACCTTGCACATAATCAGTGTGGCTTCCTGTGTGACCTGGGAACTACCCAAAATCTCTCTCCTCCAGTGCTGTCCAAGTCTGGATTCTACTTTCTGTCTTATATTGTCTAAAGGCTTCTCCAATTATTCATGACTTAAATTGCCATCATGTGGCTTTAAACTGACAGAGAGCAGGTTTAGATTAGATATCAGGAAGAAATCCTTCCCTGTGAGGGTGGGGAGGCCCTGGCACAGGTTGCCCAGAGAAGCTGTGGCTGCCCCATCCCTGGGAGTGTCCAAGGCCAGGTTGGACAGGGCTTGGAGCAACCTGGTGGAGTGGGAGGTGGATGGGATGGCAGGGGCTGGAATGAGATGAGCTTTAAGGTCACTTTACCCTGAGCCACTCTGGGATCATGACCTTGTTCTGCCTCCTGAGCCTCTGAACTGACGTTGCTCAGCTTTGGCCCCCCCTTTGCATTTCCCTTGCAGGTGATCCTTTGTTACTGCTCTCTGTTTTCTCGCCCACAGAATCGGATCTGGTGGAGAAGGAGCCCTGCTCCTTCACCTCCGGCCGCAAGTGCGAGTGCAGGCCAGGCCTGTTCTGCCAGCTCAACCACCCCTACACCTGCCACCGGTGCCAGCCCCACACCCCCTGCCAGCCTGGCTTCGGGGTCCAAGTCAGAGGTGGGAATTCCATTTTCCCTCTCCTGCTCTTGACCTGCTGCGTTTGGGTTGGTTGGTCAGTCCCCAGGTCATTGTTTTTTATCCAGGCAACTCAACACATGATGTCACTTGTGAAGAGTGCCCTGCTGGGACCTTCTCTGACCAAAGCTCCAGCACTGACATCTGCAGGCCCCACACGGAGTAAGTCCCTGGTTCTTTAATGTGACTGACTAATTAACTGAAGTTAATAAGGGATGAAATGGGACACATCAATTCTGGTGCAAAGTATACAGATTTATCTTAGGGGCACTGGAATAGCTTTGGGGCCAGGAGCAGAGGTTAGAAACCCTCTCTTTATTGCACAGCTCTGGAGTGGAGGGAAGGAAGGAAGGAAGGAATCCCTCTTGCCTTGTTTTTAGTTTACAGTGGAATTCCACACCTGTGTATCAGGTTTGCATCCAGGTCAAGAATTAATGCCACGGGGGTGAGAAGAAGGTTAATGGCTTTGACACTGAAAGCAATAATTGGAGGTGGTACAAAAATGACCAAAGGGATGTTTGTCACATGGAAAATACTCCTCTCGTGGACCATGGCACTTTCCTGCAGCACTGATGCCCGTTCTCTCTCATTCCCAGCTGTGCCAAGTTAAACAAGGTGGCACTGAGCAAAGGAAATGCCACACACGATCAGGTTTGCCTGGACCAGTCGCCCACCTACCTCACCCAAAGCACTTTGCCCACGAGACTCAGCCATGAAACAAATCACTCTGACCTGAGGAGGCTTGAGGAGAGCCTGGTGACCACTGCTAGTGGAGATCTTCCAAGTGCCACTACGACTGAAAACCCCAGTTCAACTCCTGAGGAGAAAGCTCTGAGTGGCACTTTTCCCACCTCAGCCAAGGGGGAGATGACAATGGGAGGTAACAAAGACACAACAGTTACTCTTTCTGGTGCGCTTTGTTGGGAGATATCTTTGGTAAACGCACTTTTTATGTGGGAGCTTCCTGCAAATCCCCTACGGCTCGTGAAAACCACGTCCGTGGGTCTGTGTCCAAACACGTGGATCCACTCAGAGCTCCTCCTCTGCCTTTCCTCAGCCTTCCCTGTGCTCCCTCTGTGTGCTGCAGGTGTGGTGCTCTGGGCAGTGGTTCTCTGTGTGATTGTGCTCCTCGGGGCCGTGCTGTTCTTCTGGAAGTGGAAGCTTTGCAAGAAGCGGATCCTGGTCCTCAAAGGAAAGCGTGAGTTTTTAAAGCTCTGATACCTGGGAGGCTGTTTGATCTCCCAGGATAAGCCAAAAGGCAACTGAAATATCCCAGAATTTTATGAGGGTCCCTGAGGAAGAGGGTGTTCACTACAGCCTGGTGAAGGCAGGCCACATAAGGGTTTTAGGCAAGAGGAACATGAAATATTGAAGCAGCTGTGAATTTACAGAGGGCAGGGACAGGGTAACCAGCTATTTCTTCTCTCAGCACAGGCACTGATATTAAATGATACCTGAAGTGCTGTGTGAGTATTTGTTGGTTCTGGGAATGGGGATGGGCTTTGAGCATGAGAGCAAGAGTGATTTTTAGTGACACCGGCTCTCCATAACTTTGCCTGTCAGCTGTGTGAGGTGTGCCTGTGGAACCACATTCCCTCCTTATAGAAAGCAGGATGTGCACGCTGTGGGTTGCTTGTAGACCTGTGGGTGTGGTGGAGCTGTTGGAGCCTGCAGGCTCCATGGGGAGTTTGACTAAATGGAAGGTTTCTCTTGTCAGCCCATCTGCATTCTGTCATCGCACACAAATACGGCCTCAAATCGCCAGGTGAGTGACTGATGGGCCAGCACTCCGAAGAATAAGAGGAGAGTTTTAATAAGGAGCTTGATTTTATAGAATTTTCATTTAAAAAGTGGAAGTTCTCCATGTCAAACTTCTGTCTCTGCTGCCTTGCAGAAGGCCGGTGCTTTCTGGATGTCAGCAGGTGCCGCCAGATGGCACTTTGTTCTCACAGTACACGAAGGGTTGGGTGATGTGTCAGTGCAGGAAAACAGTCAATTAATTTCTGGGCAGTAAAAAAAAAAAAAAAAAAAGTGTGTGTCAGCCATAGCAGCCTGTACAGATCCCCCAAAGCACACACAGTTTGTCCAATAAGCTGAACCCCTCTCAGAATCCCAGTCTGTCTCATTGATAGATTTATTCTGTTGTGTTGGATTCTCCTCATCACCACAAATCAGAGCTTTTAATACTCATTTATTCAGGAATATTATTTAAATTTTCTCAAAATTTACAGGTTTTTTTCCCCCTCGCATTACACAATAAAAACTGTTACTGTGCAGCTTTTTAGAGCTGATGCACTGGAAATAAAGGTGGTTGCACATCAGGGTGACATTAGATAGTAGGTCTGAGCCCATCATGGTGCTACAGGATGTTGTACATTCCCTCCTTCTCACCCCTCTTCTTTCCCCAGCATTCCCTGGAGTCATCTAATGACATTACACATAAAATCCCATCCCCTTAATACTCATCTGACCACACGATGGACTGACCCAGCTTGTTAATCCAGCAGAAAGTTATTAACTTATTTTTTTTAAAATATATATATAAGCCTGTCTTGTGCTTATCTGGACAAGTTTCATCAGTTCATCGTTTCATTAGATGAATTCCAGCTGTGGTGTGGGGACAGTGATGCAAAGGGCTTTGGGCAGAGCAGGATCTCCCAGCCTTGGCACCAACGTGTTGGTGTTCACCTCAGCTGTGTCACTGAAGGGAGCCCTCAGTGTTAGGAAAACCACAGTGCAGGTGGGGTGGGCAGTGGAGTGGTTTTGGGCAGGGCCAGGTGGCCTTTCAGAGCACATATCGACATTCTTGTGATTGTGTGAGTTTTCTTCTGGTAATTTTTCCTCTTTCCTCTTGCAGGTCCTGACCTAGGGCACAGATGTGCAGTAAGTGTGAACAATATTCCAACCCAGATCCTTTCCATGCCAGTGCAAAGAGTGTTATTTTTAAATGTCCTGCCACAGAGTGCCAGGCTTTTTGCTTGGACTTTGCTCCCCAACGTGTGATCATCAGGGTGAAGCACTGAGCTGTACCAGGACTTGCTACTTCCATGTCCTGGGCTGGGTTTAACTTGGTGTTAAATAACGTGATGCTGCCAATCTCGCTCCTGAGGGGAGTATTTGGTTTGGTCTCATGCCATTAATGGTGCATTCCATGGGACAAGATCCAAAGTCACAGGATCAATGTGCCCTTCCTTCCATGTGGGAGAAATTTTTCTGTCAGTCCCTACTTTGTCTGTCAGGTGCTAATTTTTCCAATCACTCTGGTGACAATCATCTGTTGTAATTTCAGAGTGTCTTTGCTAATCCCTGAATTGTGAGGAGCTTCCCCTCTTGCTTCCTTACTCAGACATGAGCAAGAATTTTAAACTGCACATATCAAAATCCTACACTGGTTTTTCTGGGGTTTGTGTTTGGCTTTTTTTTTTTTTTTTTTCTTTCCCAACCTTGTGGGAATACAAACAAAGCTGGGAACCTTTGGCCTCTCTCAGATTCTGGCTCCTCTTTTAAAAAATTGTTTGTAATGAATTCCTCACCTAATAGGTATTGTGAGCTCGTTTGTTGTACCTGAGGTTCTGCTGAGGCAATTGCATTTTGAAGTTAAACCAGTTCAACCTCTGGCTTGTTCTGTTCTTCCATGGAAAACCTAAGAGGTAGCTAAACCATAGATTTTCTTCAGTGAAGATGATGGACATTCTTGCAAGTGTCATCAGCAATCTGTAAACTGAGCTTAGAAATGCTGGTTTTTAAATAAGGGCTTAAGTGATGCAGGAACCTGCTTCAAAGAAATTTAAGTTCCCATACCTGTCAGGCACTTTGGAATTGTTCCCTCCCTCTGACAGTGGTGCTGGGAGCTCCATCCTGTTGTCCTGGCTGCCCTGGAAGGGTTCTGCAGAATCCTGGCAACCCTCACAGTGTTTTTACATCCACCCCACTTTTGCTCTCTGTTTGTATTGGCAGAAGATCCTCCTGAGCCCTGAGAGTGGGCCAGAAGAGAAGGAGTTAATTGACAGAACCCTCCCTTTGGAAACCAACAATAACTTGGTCTCCAGTACAGAAAAAGCACCGAGTCCCCCTCGGGGTGTGGCTGAGGTGACACCCAGCAGTGGGAACAGCCCAGATTGTCCTGTGGATTCTCGAGTCAGAGACCACACAAACAACAGAATTGGTGAGTGTTGCTTCCCCCCCCCCTTTTCTCTTGTTTTTCCAATTTTTCAACCACATGTCACATAAATGTCATTCCAAGATTACCAATAAGCTGCAAAAGTGCCCAAATCTCCTAACAAAGATTGGAGCTGAATCTTTGACACACAAACACCTATCCATCTGAGTATAACCCTTTCCTATTTTCATGTTTGCCTTACTCACTTTTCAGTTTGACAGAAAATTTCCTTCTTCCTCCTATTCATTCCAAGAGATGTAAATTTACAGAAGAAATTTGAAAACCAGAAATAAGTCAGCTGGGAAAGGATGCTCTGAGTAGGAATGATAGTTCACATGACTAAACTACCATTTTCTTCTCTTGGTTTCACAGTAATAGCTGGAAATGTTTCTCCCATGTATTCCCATAAATCTTTGACCATGGCCCAGGGTGGGAGACAAAGTCAGCCAAGGAACTCCCTCAGGCAAGGAATTGTTACCTGAGACTTTCTGGCAATGTTTCCAAACCCAATTTTGAGGTTATTTGAAGGTTTTATTTTTCATATTACAAGAGCTGACTTTTCCTTCCTAAATGCCCTTTCAGTCTTCACTGTGAGTGATGGATTGGGATGAATGTGATGATTTGACTTACCATATCCAAATATCTCCAAGCAGTTGTGACCTGCAGTGTCTGACCTGCTGCATCCCTCTGAATCAAGTGTAGTGGTCCAAGCCATTGCAAAGGCCTTATTTACCTTTTTGTGAAGGACTAGGTACAACAAGTTGGACACAAATCTATCCCAGAAAATTTTGCAGTTTACTCTCAGCTGGAAAAATCTTTGCTGGTCTCAAGACCCCAGAATTTCTGTACAGTGCTGATCCGTACCCAAAGGCTGCTGTTAATGCAGGTGGTGTTGTTTTTCTAATCAGCAGGAGAATAAACCTTGGATTCTTTATATCTAGGTCCCAATTAATAACTTCTTCTGGCAGACTCTTGTGAGCATCTTCTGCCTCTTCTGCTCTGTCCTTCCCCTGTAGTTCGAGCTCCAGCTCAGTGGCTTCATCCCATGGAAGCTGAATCTGCTCACTCTGAAATGCCCACAGTCCTAATAAAACATTGTTGCATGAAAAGGAGCCATCTCTGGGGCCAGCAGGGATCGTTCACCACCCTCAGCACTCCTCTTTTCCTTCCTCAGAAAAGCTCTACATCATGAAGGCCGACACTGTTATCGTGGGCTCCATCGCAGAAGTGGCCGGTGGCAAGAACTGCCCTGGCAGAGGATGTGAAAGTAACTCTGACACCCAGGAAATCGTGGAAGAGGAACTGGCAATGCACTACCCAGAGCAGGAAACAGAGTCCTTTCCAGGGAATGATGTCATGGTTCCCGTGGAAGAGGAGGGAAAGGAGTTTCACCACCCCACCACTGCCACAGAGAAGTGAGAGCCCGTGGAGATGAGGAGCTGCAGGGACATCCAGTGCTGCACTAAGTCTGACTCTGTGACAAGGGAGGTAAACACACAGTGCCTTGGGTTATTGGAAAACTCCTGGAAAACACCAAAACACACTCAAACAAGGAGGGCTAGAACCTCCTTCATCTACCAAACAACAGGATCATCCAAACCGTTGGCCTTCGTAGCTGACATCAAATATTCCTCTTTCCCTCTCTCTCCCCGTGTGATGCTGGAAACAAATTTGAATCAAAGCTGCCCAATTTAGAGGACATCTGGACGTCAGCTGAAGTTTCCCAGCTTGCTTTCTCTGCATGAAGGAATGGGTTGAAATCTATGTCTGGTTACTTCTGTTAGTAGGGAAAATTCTGGCTGGGATTCCGAGGCAAGCTTGAGATTCAGCCATGGATGTTGTCGATTAGGTTGTTTTACTTTCAGTACTTCCAGTTTTGTCGCATATTTTGCAACATCTGGCATTTTCTTAAGGCCTCAACTCTTGACTGAAAGTGATGACAACTTCAGTTTTCCCCAGCACAACCAACTCTCAGGATTGTGGACTTTATGTTTCTTGAGGAAATAGGATCAAAAGGTGCCACCCAGGCTCAGAAAACAGAAGGCAAATAAAACTAATTGAAGTCCACTGCACTTCAGGCCATTCTTTCTAGGTTTTGAAGTTTGATTCATGTTTTTAACTACTTCAAATCACCTCTGAGTGTATGAAATGGCCTCTTCTGATGGAAACTGGTTAGTGGATGAACTATGGGTTTAACCCAGTGAGGAGCCTGTAAAAAGGAAAATGAAGAAAAGAAACTATTTTTCTGCAGAAAGAAAAGACTGAAAAAGAGGCACAGCAATTATTTCCTATAAAATTATTAATATCTATTTGGTTTAAAATTGCTCATCACCATCAGGGTGACGGTGATTTGCATACGCTTTAAAAACAAAGCTGTCTTGTGGTCGACTGGCTGGTGTTATGCTATTTTTCAATCTTTCTTGCTGCTTGTTCAGTAACTGTAAATGTAATAGTGCTGATTACACTTTTGCAGAGGACAATGGAAAATGAGCAAGATGACAAAGTGTCTCTTAATAGTCAAAAAAAAAGGAACCACAAAAACCATTGCTTGCTTTGTAGTTTTGCCCTGGGTGAAGTACTGTAAAAACAGCTGTGCAGCTGCAGTGACTTATCTTAGAATACACAGGAGGAACATAAGGGCTTAAAAACACCTTCTTGGGCCAGTCTAGGAGCATGAGCCCAACATTTTATCTCTGGCAGTTGCAGTCAGGGGTGTCAGTTGGGAAGAGCACATCAGCCGGGCTAATATCTGCTGTCTGCATTCCTCCCAGTTCTGCAGCAGCAGCTGGAATTGGATCAGGATGTCCAGGAGTTTTTCTGAGCCCTTACTCTTTGTTCATATTGCCACTAGTTTTAATTCTCTCTTTTGAATTTCCTGGTACAATCTTTCCTCCATAAGCACCTGTGGCAGCAGGTTACAGGTACCATGCCCTGTGTAAAGAAGGACTCGTAACACTTTTAACCTGGCCTTTTTATTTCAGTGAGTGCCACTAGTTCTTGTCTTATTAAATCACTGACTTTTTTTTTTTTTTTCTTTTGCAACTGATTCTTAATTGTATCCTCCTCTGCCTCCAAGCTGAGCTCCCATCTCCTCATATCTCTCGTGTAACTTAGATGCTCCTCTGCCTTGGTCACTTCAGTTGACCTCTTCCACATCTACTTAAACTTCACTACATACTTCATTTTAGGAAACACCAATTTGTGAACCCACAAACATAAATAACCACTTTCACCTGGCTGTGATTGTTCAGGGCTGTCCCGCAATGACAGCTAACTGTGCATCTCAGCTCTGTATATAAATTAATCTTTTTTACTGGAGCAGCTTTCTAGGTGAACCGTGTGCATTGCAACCTGCTGGATGTGTTAGACTTGGTTGGTTTAATAATGCTGGTAATCTCTGAATTAAAAGTTACATGGATTTTAAGCCATGGCCATGCTTTTCTTGTCTGGTATGTACACGTTTCATCGTTGATAATTTCAGTACCTGTATCAGCCACAGGAGAAATATTTTTTTGCAGAAGAAATATTTTTGCAAGAAAGCCACTTGAAGCTCATGAAGCTTTCAGTGGAGTGGAATTTTTCTCAAGAGCAGGACTGAATTTACAGTAAGTCTGCCTGTGCCATCCCAGCAGTGCGTGGCACACGAGTGGAGCAGTGGTGGGTGTTAATGAATGCTGGGATGGGTGTCAATGAATGCTGGGATGGGTATTAATGAGTGCTGGGGTGGGTGTCAATGAATGCTGGGATGCTGAGAAAGGTAAATTCGTATTTTGGGGTGAAGTCCACGAGATTATACAACTCAGGATGTTCTATGAGTGGAGCACAAATAGGACTAAAGAGACCTCCCCGAGCTCAAGGAGCGTTCGGATGACACTCTGGTGCCCACGTTGTGACTCTCGGGGCTGGTCCTGCGCAGGGCTGAGGGCCAGACTCGACGATCCTTGTGGGACGCTTCCAGCTCGGCCTGTTCTGTGATCCCCCCACGCCGGGAGTCTCCCGTGGGCCTCTCCGCTGTGCGGGGCCGTGGGGCAGCACGGCTGGTGCATCCCGGGGCCGGTCCCCCCGCGGGGCCGCCCCGTCCCCGTCCCCGCCCCGCGCCACTCGCGGCGCGATGTGGCCGCGCTGGGCGCTGCTCGTGGGGCTGCTCCGGACCGCGGGCGGCCGGGTGAGTGCGGAACGGGGGCTGTGCGGGGGTCTGCGGGGGCCGGGGGGGTTCTGCCCGCCCCTCCCGGGGCGCTGCGAGGCGGGAGAGCAACCGGGGGGACGCGAGAGGGCATCGCCGGAGGGGGGGCCGCTCTCGGAGATGCTGCGGGCGGGCATCGGCTCAGTGTGGGGTGCGAGTCACCTGCCTGCCCCGTGTCGCCTCTCCGCCCCTTGTCACCCCTCTGTCCCTTGTCACCCCTCTGCCCCGTGTCACCTTTGTAGCCCCTTGTCTCCCGCCTGCACAGGACTCGGTGCGATCTCTTCAGCAGCTTCAAGTCCCGCTCTTAAGACTCCTCGCCCTGCTCCCCTTGGCTGTGTCGTTGTTTTTCTCGGCTTCCCAAAGCAACAGCACACCGTTTTTCCTGGATTTTCGGGGGGAATAGGTTGGGTTTTTTCAGGCCTGTTCGAATATTTGTAAAAATTGTGAGCGTCCTGGCAAGTGCGGGCTGTAAACCCGTGCTCATTTGGCACCGTGGTTCGAACAGGAAGAGCTCGTTGTGCTCCGCTGGTTCCCTAGAACTCTCCCCTATTTACAGTGCATTTACAGTGCAGACGTGATGTGCTGCAGCTGGGACTGTTCTCTCTCCCATCCAGCTGTACCACTCTTTGGCAATGAGGGCTCGGAACTGCCTCAACCAAAGAGCTCCATGGGATCTATTTGCCTTGTGTTCTGTGCTGGCAGTGCTGGTCTATCAAAGCGTTCTTCTGTCTGATTTAAAAACGTCCAGGATTGTGAAGATCCATATGGAAATGCTGCTGAGATGTCCAGGTCGTTGTGTTTTCATGGGATACTGATGTTATTTACATGTTTATTTAATCACAGGAATTTAGGCTTGATAAGGCAAAGGTTCAGTGAAACCAGGTGAGGATGTCAGGATGGATATTGAGCCTGGAATTACACAACGGTCTTTCGAAGAGTACTTAGTGCTATAATAGGTTGACAATATAATTATTTTAACTATTTCTCATTTTTAATTCAGCCTAGTTTTAAGGTGATAGTATTTTAAACCTGATTTACTGGACGCTTTGCAGTGGGTAGGGTACAAAAGATGAAGAAGGGAAAATCTCAGAATTTAAGTGTTACTATTTCTTTCTGAACAAGGGGCTTCAATTCAAAAGGAATTTCCTCTCAAACATGGCAACATATAATGATGGAAATAATGAAGGGAATTTCACCATCTCTTTCTGCATTGTGACAAACCAAAGTCTATATATAAAGTTAGAAGAACAAACACAGGAGTTTCAGAAGTACCACATCTGCCACAGAGCTGGAAAAAAAACCCTGTGTGTTATATCAATTTTAAGAAGTGATTTGTTAAAAAAATCTGATTTTATTTTTGAGGGAGACAAATTGGCAAAGCCATAGTTGTTGAGTGAAACTATTTCCTGTTTTTCCTCATTCAGCTGAAATTCTCTGAACACTCCTGGCCTCCCTCCCTGTGTCAGTCACAGGAACTGAGTGTTACTTTTACCACTTTTGAATAACTCAGTCATGAGAGTTACTCAGAAATAGCCTGAATTTTTCAAACAGAAGAGCTGGTGAAATGTCCACGTTTTTCCAAATGCACATATAATAAAATATACCTCGTCTCCCTACAAACTTGGACTTACTTCTATGACTCTGGCATGTTGGGAGTATCTTCCATGCTCTGTGCAGCTTCTGCCTTCTCTTTTGGGAAGATGTTTTCAGGTGGTGGTGGTGGGTGGCAGTGAAGTAGAATTCCCAACAGTGAGCAGAGACACTGTTCCCTGAGGGAAGGGCAATGTGGAGCTGTAACTCTGTCTGTGTGTGGTGGTGCAAGGACTCCTGCTTTATAGGAATAAAGTGCAATACAGGATAAGAGAATAATTCACATAATGGATCCATATCTTAGAGATCTGCGCAGCTTTAAAAGAAACTTTCTGATGTGGGTATAGTCAGGACAGCCTGATACAACTCCAGCTGGTTTTGGTGAGATGCTGTTATCTGGTAACTAATCTCCCACAGAATTATTTTTGTTAATGACCAGTTTAAATATTTTTAGACAGAACTGCGTTTTTTCCTGTCTCCAGCAGGTCTGGTAGCTCAGCAAAGGGTGTCTCTGTGCCTCAGGTCCTTTCCATAGGAACAGCCTTTTACGACAGAGGCCTCAGTGACCTCATTGTGGTTTCATGTGCGAAAAGAACCTTGTGCACAGCTGTAGTTCCTCTGCAGACTCCTTTGATTGGCAGCTTCAGCTTGAAGCAGGCAAGGAGACCAATGAAAATGTAGTTAGGATTAAAACAGATGCTCAAATATCCTTGTTTAAATGGCCTTCTTGAGTGAAAATGACTGTTATGTGAATGGATTTATGTATATATTCATCCATCATATTAACGTTTTATTTTTATTATTTAAGATACTGAAATTTAATTACACATAAAGTGCTCTCTGTTGTTTGCCTGCTCCTCCCCAGTTAGAAGTGAGGTCCCCTGGGTACTGGGTATCTGGAGTGAAAATGGGAATGTGATTCAAAGAGTGCAGGGACCCTGCTTTGTGTGTATAATTTCTTAGTGCACAGGCATTGCAAAAATCTCCCTGGTGAGTTGTATATCCAAAGACAATCATATTTACCCATTTCTGTGCCAAAATGCGCTGCTTAATTTGATTGCTGTGCTTAGAGACTAAATTTCATGTTAAAGAATGTTTGTTTCTCTGCTGCCAGATGGATGGGGCATTTTAATTCTACTTGTGCCTGTCAGATTAAATTAAAGTCTTCCAAAGTCTTCATTCTGTCAGTATAAATCTCTTTAAAATCAGCTGCCATTAGACATGGCCACATAAGCTGAGAAGTTCCAAGGCAAAATGTGCAGCATCAGGTTGGTTTTCCTTCACACAATCTGCTTGTATCTGCTTGTAATCTGTGAATCACAGTAAAGACAGAAAGTAAGATGAGGACTCGTGAGAGATACAAACAATAACAAAATGCAAAGATTGTGGAATGGAATCTGACCTCCACTCATCAGCTGTTGGTCCCGAAGTAGCCAAGGGAACTG